GCTGCACGGCGACATGTGGGGGCACAGCTCCAAGGGATGGAGGTTTTTGGGTGACAGAGTGACTGTGCTATAGCTCCAGCGACAAGGCTTGTGCACAGAAAAGCTATTGGAGAGGATGGGTTTGCAGTCCCCCTGCACAGATGCTCCGTGTGCTACAGAAGCTCGTGGGATGTTCAGGTTTCGGCATGGCAGGGCCGGGTTCAAACCCCGCTGAGCGTTGAAGTGTCTGCTGCAAACAGACAGGCTGGGGCAACTGGGGAGTCAGGCAGCCCACCCGCTCCCGGCATTTCTCAATCCCGAGGAAAGCTACACCCCAATCTCATGTGTCCCCCCCGCCGTGGGAGGGAGAGCCGCAGCACAGGCAGCCTCTGCCAAGGGCTCAGCTCCTGCAGGAAGAGAAGGACCCACCAAAGCATCGAGCGATAACAACAAAACATCCTAAAACAGAGAGGGGGTGTCACATAAAGGCTATGGGGCAGAGTCAGAACATCCCATTTCAGACACACACTTGCTTTGAGTCATTCATTACACTTTATTACATAATTATAGTGAAAACCCCTAAACTTGCAGTTCGTTAGGAAGAGAGAAGCCAGTAATCACCTCAGCTCTGCACGTACCATGCTTGCAAACCCGAGACACTCTGTCTTTATTACTTTATTTGCCATGAGGTGTTTCCTATAAAGGTGTGCCCCAGCTCTAAGATTCAGGAGTGAACACTCCAAAATTGTCCCCTTCCTGGTTTGCTTCCTAAGTGTTCCCCAGAATTACCCAGTGGGGATCCACGGGACAATTTTACAGACTACATTGATCCCAACGGATGCCCTGGACCCACAGCAGCAATTTCCATTGATTCAGCTGAAGGACACAGGGAATCATTATCTCCCAAACCCAGCTAATGTCACTCCACCTGTCTGAGCCTCATACTTCCACCGCAGGGCCCAGACATTTGCAGTACGTTTTGGAGCCTCTCTCCCCTCTCTCTGGGTGGAGGTTTGACCCAGCTGTGATGAGAACACGAGGTCTCAGCCAGAGCCTACCCAGCACCTGGGAGCCCAAAGGGTTTTTCCTCTAAGACGCTCTACCTCAGAGCAACTCAGTGCTGCCCTTATCCATCATGTGCCCACAACAAGTTGCACCATCTCCTGAGATGAAGGGCTTGGTCTTCTTCAACTGAGCAACCTAGAAAGCACCATTGCCACGAAATATTTCAGAAGACATCGTTTCAGAGTGACTCAATGGATAGGATATTTTTAAGCATTGGGAAGAAAAGCATTTCTGCATGCATGAGATCTTGCCCATCACCAACATGCTGTCACCGAGGGAGAGGCATTCCACATGTGAAGGGCTGGAGCACCTCTGCTTTGGCCTGAGCTTGGCACCAATGCGTTTGATAACCTCAAGCAAGTCCCAGCACTGCCCCAGGCTCTGCTGGGGAGAAGCCGGAGCACGACAGCCCTAAGGCCTGGCCAGCCATGCCCATGCTGTGGACATCCGAGCTAACTTGTTTAAGTGAAGCTGATCCACTTTCTTTGCCCGTGCTGAAATCAGTGGCCAACACCAGCGTGCTTTCCCCAGGTGCCAAGGAGACGAGCATTTGCATTTCAGTGGCAGGTACAAACTACAGCCATCGCCCTGTCCCCATGCAGACAGACGATGCAGGGTCTCCTCTCCTCCCCAGGCAGCCCTCCACCACCAGTCAGCTCTTGTAACCCCCGGGGCACACTCCCGCACATCAGGCACCGGTCATGGCCAAAAAGTCTCCAAAACCCTATTAACAAAGACGTTAATTAAAATGTCATTAGAAAGTAAGACCCCAGCTGAAACTCTGCAGCAGGGGCTCCAGTGCCAGCCCTGCCGCCCAGACTGCCGAGAGGAAAGATGCTGATCTGTTTCCAATTTGCTTTTTGGAGCTCATCATCGAGGAGCAATTTTCCTTTTAAGGTGGAACAGCATGAGGTTTGTTTTCTTTCAAAGAGAATTCTTTAAGAGGTTATTTATAGATCCTCTTGTGAATGTGACTGTGCTTTGCATCCCACACACGCTGCTGTGATGTGGGATGAAATGTTCTTGTGGAGCCGTTAATTAACACTGACTCGGGAGCTGTGCAAGAGCACAGCTCCAGGTAGTCAAATATTCCCTGTCTATCCATGCACCGGTACTACTAACCTCCCAGCCTCAGCGTATTTTGTGTTTGCCACTTTTTCTCCTATCAGGTCAACTAGCTGGGTTGTCTGAAGGTAACAGAAGTACTTACGGTAAGAGACTTTAGGAGGAGCTGCCCTCCTGCCCCGTGCTCCCTCTTGCCCATTTCTTCTCTACATGAAGCAGTCCCAGCTTTTTTCCAGGTTATGCTCTACACTGACATTTTTCCTTGCCACAACTTATTAGTGTCACCCACCTCCAGGCACCTCTCACTTCTCTTCTGCCCCATTTGAGGTGGTTACGGGGAAGCAGGGATGTAGCTTTCCTTGGGATCTCCCCACTCCGCAGGCATTTTAACATTTTGTTTCCCTTTCTGTGAACTGAGAAGCCTTTATTCAACTGTCCACATTAATACTGGTTGGTGATTTCCGTCTCGCAAGACCATTAAACCGACACCTTTCACCAGCAGCAAATAAACTTAGGTATAAGAAAAGCAAAAAAGAGCTGAAGAACAAAATGGCTTAGCAGCCAAATCCGACCCGGAGATCTGTTTTGCATTTCCCACTCCTCTGCGTGTTCTTAATTATACATAGTGCAGAACTGGGGGGGCTCCCACTCAGCATTAATATGGAGCATATCGCTCGCTGGATTTGGAGCGTGTAATATGCATTTCCACCCCCTTCAGGAGCTGATACCAGGACGAGAGCACTAAGGCCAACATGGAATTTATACAATACTTTAAGCATATTTTTTCCAGTGCAGCATAACACTACTGGGGAGATGCTAAAGCCTCACGGTATTTGGCTTAATGACAAGCAGGACCTTCCCTGACCAAAAGGCCACCAACAGATTGAAAGGTCAGGGATATCCCAGCTCATCTTCTACTGCATCTGTGTTCAACTACAAATTTGCTTCAGCACCAAAGGTTGAAGAAACACGTGAAAGGGAGTTTGCATGCTTTTCAATCCTCGCTTACATTCTGTATTTTGTTAGCAGGACTTCAGGATATGATAAGAATGCCCATGCAATGGATGATTCTTGTAAAACATTTAACCACCTGCCATCAGAGGTAGCTGTAGTGAGGGCAAAGACTAAATGTCATCGGAGTCTTTTCCATAAAATAAGAGCGTGCACCTCTGAGCCCAGGAGTAGGCGTTGCAAAGTGATACATGGCTAATTCCTTTTTAAAAAAATCCTTTGGCTTTAGCTTGATCTCTCCTAATCAAAGAGCTAACGAGCAAAGAGTGAACCAGCCACACATTTGTATGTGGCAGTTTTAGGCTTCATGTCTCATTTCTCCAAGGGCTACTCCAGCTTCAGAAGCTGAAAGAAAGAATTTGAGGCAGGGGATGCCTTTCATCCCCCACCAGTTTTTTTCCATATTCACACAACTGGAAAATATCCTGACTCCATAAGCATCTCCCCTCAGCACATGGTTGGTGCCCACCAGGGAGCACCAGCCCTGCTGGGGAGCCGGTGGCCATGGCCATAACCTCCCTCACCGGCAGAGTCAACGGGAGGAAAAAATCCTCAGCCCGGGCATGGGGAGGCCTTCTGTTCTGGAGAGGGGATGGCAGGAGCACCTTTACCCATGGGTAGTCAGAAACTGATACCATAGGGGAAATCCTTTTTTTTTTTTTACTATATCTGTAACCATGCACAGAACCCAAATTCTATTTTAAATGCTTCTAATACCCAGAGTCTTGGGTGGGTCATGCATGAAGACAGGCTCTTGTCAGTCAGCCTGATTTTGAGCATCTTCTCTAAGCTGCTGATGTATCACAGCACTATTTCAAGATCCAGTGGAGTTACTCAGGAGTTGCACATGGAGCATAGTTATTTGTAAACAGATCCATGAGCAGATATCCAGAGGGATATTCTACTGTCTGTTAACTGCTCTGTATCATTAGCAGGTTAACGGGAATAGCTTTATTCCAGAAATTATTTTCCATCACTGTCTCCCCATCCAGGAGTGGAGTAAGACAAGCCCAGGAGGCTCAGCATCCCGCTGTGAATGAAGGCAGATCCTGAGACGCTCCAAAAAAGCTCTTGGTATGGGCTATACTTAAAGCAATGACTCACTTTACAGAGCCAGGAGACAAACAACGGCTGGGGTTTTAACAGTTACCCCTCCTTCCAAGGTGAATGTTAGTAACAAACAGGGAGACTGAGCTCCCGCCCCCCGCCCCGAGAGCCAGGTCAGCATGGCAAGGGGTTAGGAAAGCCCCGGCAGAGGCTGCAGCGGGGCCGGTCACGGCTGCACCCCGACACCAAGCCAGAGACTTGGCAGGTGATTCGGCTGCAGGTTGTGCAGTGCCACGCAGCCGAGCTGCGATGAGGAAGGGACTTTGTCAGCCAACTGAGGGCTCAATCCGTACTGTCAGGCAAAACGCAGTAAGGACTGCCTTGGCCCAAAGCCTCCACAAGCCCACCTTCTAAATTCAGCCCTGCATCACATGATGGGTTTTGTGCTTGGTAAGAAATCCCAGTGACCCAGCCACCAGGCTGGTATTACTGGGGAAGTTTACACTAAAACCCTTTCTCCTTCCTCCATTCAGCTAGTCCCGAGTGGCTGCTTCCAGCACCCCTCTGCCATCGCTACTTGTGTTTCAGGGAAAAGGAGGGCCAGGGAACAAAATGAGGGACGGCTGCAGTTACAGACTTAGAGAGGAGCAAATCTGCAAAAAAAATATTGGTCAGACCTAGAAAACTCCATGCCAAAAAAAAAGGCAATTATCTCCCATTCTCATGCAAGCCTCTACAACACACCGTGCTGGTGGAGGGGACACCGCCGTACCCACACACACTGCCCACCACACACAACAGTCACATCCCATCTCCTTTCTACAGGCTGCGCCATGATCTCTGCTGTCCTCCTGCTCTGGACTGTGCCCTGCGTGGCAAACCACATCCTCGGGGGCTTTGCCAAGGGAGCGCTGCAGGAGGGTCCCCAGCTGGCGTGCAGCCTGCCGGGACCCCCCGGGCCCCCCGGCCCCCCCGGGGCACCTGGAGCTCCAGGGACGGTCGGCAGGATGGGCTTCCCAGGCAAAGATGGCAAGGATGGCAAGGATGGGGATAAAGGCGAGAACGGCGATGAAGGTAAGAGAAAAGCGCTTCTTAACATAACAAGGGTAAAATGTAGAAGCAATAGTGCAACAGCCCAGTAAACAGCAACCTGTCATCCCAAATACCAGCCACAGGACAGACAACATCTCGCAGGAAACTCTTCTAGAAATTTTCACACTGCCCCGACCCCAACATCTCACACTCGTCAGCTCCTGCCGGGGGGTTCAGACTCACGTTATTTGCTGATAGCATCTTAATGCTGTGCACAATTCCTATTGGTTTCATTTTGTTGTGAAGTGAGATTTTCCCTGTTCTGACATATGCTCTCTAGTTGAGACAAAGTGGTGGTCTCCGAATCCTGCTCTCAAGCAAAACAGAGTCAGGTGAAAAAATTAAGTACTTGCTCCGCAGAGCACTCTAGCTGGGTGACAGGCGCTGCCCTGACCGTGCTCAATCTAAATCAAAGCTAACAACAACCCTTCTTTAATCCTGAGGTGGGGCTCTCCTTTAGACCCCGCTGTGCAGTCAGTAAGCGTCAGGACCAGCTATGGTGAGAAAACAGTGATTTCCCGTTGCCACACTAGAGTGCACTCCTGATTCAGCATAATGCCAGTGTGCCAAAGCCGCATCTTACTCTCTTCTCCCACCCCCAAAACAGGGAATCCAGAGAACAGGTTTCCACCCGCAGCTGCATTTAAATCTAGTCTTGCTACAGCAGGTCAAGAGACAGGCTACAAATCCCCAAGACTTTATCTTATATCAGCCACTACCACAATCAGCGCTAATCAGCAGTTTCAGCATCTCTGTGACAGCCCGACTCGCTTCCCATCTCGAGGCAGTCCCGGCACCAGTTGTCTTCTGCTTCATGGCTGGTTCATCCCCCAGCTAGGCTGGGCTTTTTACTACACCTAGATTTTTTTTTACATTTTTATTTTAAACAACAGTTTCATGTTAAATGTTAAAAAAAAAAAAAAAAAAAAGGGACAGGAGATTAAAAGTACTCCATCTGCTCAAAACCAGGTTCCAAAAGCTTCACAAACCTGTCCCACTCCTGCAAAGCCTAAATATTTAAAGTTTGTTCTTGGCCAGCTTTATAATTAATTGCTCCTTTTTTCTCAAGTGAGACAGATAATTGAACCAGCCTTTCAGCCCTTAAAAGGGACAGACTGTCCTGCTCCCGAGTCCCATTGTTATCATGCCAACTACCTACCTAACACGGTTTGCCAGGCCTGACAGATGTCCAGCCCCAGGTGGTATTCCATCAGGATTCTCACCAGCAAGGTTTTCCTCCTAAATGAAAATATACTGCTGCAGTGATATAATCCCTTTCCACTTGCCATATAATCTCTTCCACTGAAAAATTTACAAGGTTATTTGTCTTCTAGGTCCACAAGGCAGAACAGGAAACCCCGGCAAGCCAGGACCGAAGGGGAAAGCAGGAGCTATTGGCAAGGCAGGCCCACGCGGGCCCAAGGGTTTAAAGGGTAATCCCGGAAAAAACGGGGCACCGGGAAAGAAAGGGCCCAAAGGGAACAAGGGCGAGACCGGGCTGCCGGGACCCTGCACCTGCAATGCCAACAAAGCCAAATCTGCCTTCTCTGTGGCAGTCTCAAAGAGCTACCCGAGGGAAAGGCTGCCCATCAAATTTGACAGGATCCTGATGAACGAGGGAGGACATTACAATGCTTCCAGTGGAAAATTTATATGCAGCATCCCAGGTATTTACTACTTCACTTATGATATCACTTTGGCCAACAAGCATTTGGCCATTGGCTTGGTCCACAACGGGCAGTACCGGATCAAGACTTTTGACGCCAACACTGGAAACCATGACGTTGCATCTGGATCAACCATCCTTTCTCTGAAGCAAGAGGATGAGGTATGGCTGCAGATCTTTTATTCAGAACAAAATGGGCTCTTTTACGATCCCTACTGGACAGACAGCTTATTTACTGGCTTCCTGATATATCCTGACCAAGATTATCTCAATGAAATATAGGATGAGAAACTAGCCTGTGGGGACAAAATAGGAAATGCATGAGACCTCAGTCCAGCAAAGTGTAGCCTGTACATGAACATGTGTGGGATTATCATACAATTCTGCATTTTTGGCGCTAACAGCCTGTATTGGCTATTTAGAAATGTACTTGCTGTCATCAACTAGTCCACAGGGTACCAGGACCAGTATGACCCACCTTTAAGCAGCCTCATGAATCTCTGAATCTCAAAGACACCCATTATGTTTTCCATGATGATTCCTACACGCCATGGACCTGTAACTCAAATGCTGGTTCAGAATGCTTTGATTATTATATTATTATCATAAAGAATGGAAACCAACAACCATTTCCTGAAAGCTGAGCTCAGAAGTGCCACTGATGCTGGAGACTGTATCACTGCGCCTCCTCCCCCTGCGCCCTGTAAGAGTAATAATCCTTCTCAATACAGAGTTACACTTTACCAGCTACTTAAGAGTCAGGAAATTGTCAGGTAAAGTTATAAAAGTAAGAGTAGCTCTCAGCCTCATCAAAGCAGTACTAATAAGCAAGGGCATCTGGTCTAAATAGCAAACAATGCAAAGGAAAGATCTCATTTTTTAAGGTTAAAGGTAAGACACTCTGTAAGACACAAGGTGCCGCACTGAGCACCACTGGTGTTTCTCAGCTTTCAGCCTCGATATACCGGGGCTGGAATCCCACACCTGGTTTCAGACAAGTGCTGGTAAGCTGTGACCTGAGCCTAAACTGGACTGTGCAACCCAAATACCTGTGGGTCTCTGAGGCACAGTGGAGGATGAGCTTTACGGATAAGACTCAACTGTCAAAGAGAGCATGAACCTTCACTCCAGAAACACACTCATTAATACCCCCCTTCCTTCATCCCTGCCAGCTTCTCCTGGAAGGACATACTCGTGGTGCTGCTGAGATCCTCCTCAAGGGCTTAATGCTACAGCGAGACCCTACCTTACTGCTGCTTCGCTTTTTTTGATGTTGCATGTCAAATATTACAGATGCTCCAAAGTCAATGTTTTGGTTCTAAACAGCATGGAAAAACAAAACAAAACAAAACAAAACAAAACAACAACAAAAAAAACCACAAAAAAACCCACACCACCACACAGAAAAGTCAAAAGCTGAACTTTTTTTTGCTTTTGCTAAGCTGAGCTTCGCGAATTTTTTTTTTCCTCCTCTGTATCAGCTAATATAGGGACATGATCCAAAATGGTTCGCTATTACCAGAGCGAAGAGTTCTCCTGCTACAAAGCTGCCCAGCATGGCTGCCTTGCCCCAGGGTGTCCAACGCTCCTGTAACAGAGGTCTCCATCTCAGTAGCCCGATGGAAGGAGTCTCTTCCTCGCTGTCAGATGCATCTTCTTGGTTTCCAGCTGTATTTCTCATCTCCTTTATCACTTGGTGAAAACTCTCATGAACTTCCAGCTCCTCTAATCCTCATATTTAGGCATTGTAGGGATATCCCATAAGAACAAAGATTTTTTTTTTTTTTTCCAATCTTACTTTTACAAGTCAAAATCTTTTCATGATTTTCATGAACCACAGTAATTACATTGTATCTTACAAAAATCTTTTCAAATAAATTTTCTAAAATAAAGCTGAACAAAAGCACTGGTGGAATAGTCTTGATGTTTATAAAAGTGGTTTCCTAGAAGGTATTTCAAAACTGTGTTATAGATTCCACAGACACTGTTGGGTTTAGCAATGGATTATTTTTTTTTAGGGGCTGGTACAACAGGAGCATTTCCCCACTCCCAGCCCAGCAAGGTGGGGAACGCACAGAGTTTTCTGTTCTCCATGCAAGAAAACCTGCAAGGTGGAAGAATAGGATCTGTCCCTTCCCCTGAAGCTGCTCGCCCACATGGCGAGTGTCCTTTCCTTGACAGCGGTTGCTCAGATAATATATTTCTTTTTCCTAAGCTCCCTCATTTAGGGTGTCCTGGGGTGTGTTTGCAAGCATTCCCAAAGGCAGCAGCAGTCCAAGAATTGCATTTCTCCTGCGATACCCAGCCCCGCGCTCCCACCCCGACAGCACAGGCGCTGGCGGGGCAAATGGCCACTTCTGGGCTGGGCCGAGTTGCCTGTGGGTCTCTGCCCCGACACAGGTCCCCCAGCAACGGTGCGCGTTAGAGGCAGCTCAAGGGAAGTAGTGGGACACATGGGAGGACAATGCCTCTCCATACCACCACCCCGCTGTGCTGCACCCAAAAGGGAAATCACACAGTACAGTGCTAATTAATCCAGCGGTGCTCACAGCCCACTGCTGCCAGAAGACAGAGACCACACTTCCCTCCTCAGTTCTTTCCCCTTGATTCAGTGCAGTACCCACCCCCAAAAGGGGGTACTTTTGAGGGGTTGTGGGGTTTTTTGTGTATGTTTGGGGTTTTTTAATTGTTTGGGTTTTATTTGTAGTCAGGTTAGTTCTCCACTGCTTTTGTGAGCTGAGCATACTGGGCACCAGGCAGGTACCAGAGCTGGGAGGGGATGGGAGAGCACCACAGGGAATAAGCCTGAGAAGAGGAGGGTGGAGGGGAAGCAGCAGTGAGCAATTAGATCAGTTCTGCCGCTCAGTCTTCCCTTGTGATCTCCAGAGAAGGCCCAGCAGGGAGTGTGTCCTCCCAGTGTCAGCCCTCTCAGGGGCACACGAGCTGCTTTCCCCAGATGAGAAGCCAGGGAAGTTATTAACTGTCTGGCAAAGCATCCTTTTTATTCTAGTGAAAAGGAAAACCTGCAAATGAGTCTTTTAAGTGTGGAATATCAAAATGCAAATTATAAAGAGAATCACTGGCCCCCGCTGAGCACTCAGCGAGACAGCACTTGCGCTCAGTTTGGGGCTATGAGGTCCTTCCTGCAGGAGCAGCCCAGGACCACTGGCTCCAGACTGCTCCCGGCCACCCTGCGGAGCTGCCCCGGCCACCGTGCTGCCCTCTGCAGTGCACAGCTCCAGCCCCGGGCATCTGCTGCCATCGTGGACTTTGAGCAATGGAAAAACCTAAACTAATAAAATATAGCAGGCAAGAGGGAGGAACAGATTGTTTGATATCCCACTGGGATGAAGTCATTTAAAGATATCACGTATTGTAAGTATTTCTGTGAAAGAGGCACGAGCATTTAAAGTGATGCATGTGGGCTCTTCTTGCACAGGTTCCTCTGAAAGAGATTAATTTCCTCTCATGATGCCTTAAGAGCAGCTCACATGCTGAACAAAATGTCTCCACTCAGCCCATTCCTGCAAGGAGCATCATCTCAAGCAGCTGTGGGCTCCCCTCACCCTGGAGAGGAAGGAGGGAAAGGCAGCTGGCACGGTACAGGCCTGTCTGGGTCACTGCAGGGCCAGGCATTGAAACATTGAAAAGGGGGAACACAAAACTCAAAATGACTGGCTTAAAAACAACATATTCTGGCTTGCTCCTGCAACTTCAGGCTGTATTTTGGGTTGCACTGCCATTGTCTTCCAGCCAAGCAGTGATTTACTTTGTTTTTAAACTGAAACTGAGATTTACATAAAGTGTCTTTATTCCAGAAACTTCGTGTTTCTGGAAAACCACCAAATAAAGAGCTATGGTTTTCACAGCCAAGCTGTCTCAGGAGAGCACCACTCCCACGCAGGCTGCTCGCCCCAGCCCAGGCAGCTGCCTGCACCTCTGGCATGGTGGGAGAAGAGCTGGGAATGGCGGTGGCTGGGCCAGCACACGAGCAGATGCCGTCAGGAAGGAAGGAGGAACATTCTGGCTGAGCAGGATGTCACCCACCTATGCCACCACCACGCAAGGCCCGCTATGCCGCAGCATCCTCCTTCACCGCAAGTGTCAGAGCTGCCCTCTGCGCCACGTTTTGGCACAAGCGAGTCCCTCCAGCACATCAAGAGTGCCAGGGCAGGGAGGCAAGGAGAGGCAGGAGCACCCACCTTCAGCGTTCAGTTAGCAACAGAGAAAAGGCTCCGCTGGTGGCTCGCTAGAGACTGGCATGGACCTGCCTGTGAACACGTGGTCCTGCCCAGGTCCCCTCCAAGGCAGAGGAGGGTTGTTCTGTCACAGAAGCTTGCCTCCACTCAGACAGAGCCTTCTCCCTCCCACATCCACCCCCAATGCCATCCAGCTGTGCACTTCCAGCTCAGGCAAAGCCGTGAATCCACACTCTCTGTCCGAGCACGCTGCACAAACAGCAGCAGGGTGGGAAGCACTCAGCACTGGGTGATCCCAAGGACGACTCCTCCTGCCTGGTGCAGCTTCTGACCCCATAACTCAGCCTCCCAAAACCCTTTTCCTCCCCTTCAGGGCTGGTCTACATAAAAGGACCTTGAGGGGTTTTTTGTTGTCTTTTTCTTTAAAAAAAAACCAAAAACAAACCCACACATTTTAAAGCTGACAATGAGAAGAAAAAATAAACATCAAAAAATACTAATTTTCCACAGTGAAAATATTAACAGTGGACTCAATGTACATAGAGTGTGTAGAAGGTAACAATGGGATGTCACAGCTGGAAGCAAAGGGAAGGCACCAGAGCAAGGTGGCAGCTCCCCTGTGCAGCCCCGGCCACGTGCCCGATGCGCCGCCCTGAGCGCACGGTGCTGCTGAGGCTCAGGACGGGCCCGAGCTGACGGGGCAGACCAACATCTCCAAGTCTTGATTGTGTCTTCCTTCTGGAGGACTAAGGAGGATCAACACACATTTATCAGACCCTGGTTTGCTCTGCTCCCCAGGTGAGCCCACCCCCAGTTACACTAGTTAACACTCAACAGTCAGCACCCAATGTTAAAAAAAAAAAGTAATAAAATAATAAAAGGGGTGGGGCAGAAAAGTTTTTTTTTTTTTCTGTTCTTCCAGGTTTTGTCAATGCTGCCTCGCTAAGTAGTGCCAGGTCCGTGAAGACCATGCCATGGCAGGCCCACGATAACCTTACCCAGCCCCAGGGACTGCCTCCCCCAGCAGCCCTGGCCCTGCTCCCGGCCCCTTCCCACTGCCAGGGGACATTTCTGCACTTGAAA